CATCCACCATGACCCCATCTACTATGACCCCATCCACCATGACCCCATCTACTGACAATAATGACAATAATTATATTATTAATAATAATAATAATGATTATAATAATGATTATAATAACAATAATAATGATATTAATAATAATAACGATGATAGTGATAATAATAATATTGATAATGTTAATGATAATAGAGGAGAGGAAAGAGGAGAAGAGGAGAGGAAATAGGGCAGCCTCACTGCAGGGGAGGGGCAACTGGTGACAGAGAGAGAGCTGAAGCCGCGTAGCATCAGTAGCAGCAAACTAACAGAGACAGAGAGACAGAGAGGCCTTCGACCATTCGACCAAACAGCATCAGGATCAGCAAGTTCTCCATTTTTCTTCCTCTCCCCTCCTCCTCCTGCAGCTGTGTTTGCTGCTGAAGAACATGCATCCATAACCCCCCCTCTCCTCCTCCTCCTCACCATTCACATAGGATGCTTGGTGAGTATCTGCACCGACGCTCTGCACGCATTAAACATCCTTTGTCCTCTGAACAGATAAATGGGCTGCAGAGTGTGTGTGTGTGCGTGCATGTGTGTGTGTGTTGGCGGGTTGGCGTCTTCCACCTGATTTACATGACTATACGTGCTGCGTTTCTGTGTGTGTGTATGTGTGTGTGTGTGTGTGATAGACTGGCTTCAGTCTGCACACAGTTAGCCTGGTATGTTAGCATGTGGCTAGGCTAAACACTCGATGTTAGCCAACATGTTTAGCTAAACAGGGTTGAGAAGCAGCAGCATCCACACACACATACACACACACACACAGATATCCCAGAAGACTTAGCGCTGTAAGCTACTAACATTAAGCAGCTCTTTAAGATAATGACAAAAGCTATCGAGCTAACGGAGGAACAGTAGATCATCCTGTGTGTGTGTGTGTGTGTGTGTGTAACAGCTGTTCAGCATTGTCATATGTTCATATTTTGGTGTGAAAGATGTCGATACCGTTTTTTAATCCTGATGAAGTGAAAATGGGACAAACCCTTTAACACTCAGACTCATGATGCTCAGAAAATACTGGCAGCTGATTGGACGAACCATTTGTCAATGAAACTCTTTCTAACGCCAGTCGGGAGAAGATGAAAATATATTTCAGTTTCTCTCAGTGAAGAAAAGAACAATGAGCTCTTCATCTCTCCAGCTGTAAGCTGTACTATGCTATGCTATGCTAGCAGCAGCTAGTGACTCTTCTTGAGGACGTGGTTCAGACTTCTTCTTCTTCAGGTGTGTGATGCGGCGGCTTCACTGTGGGAGTCAGGAGTCGTTGCTAAGCGCCGGCTGCGTGTCATCACTGGAGCTCAGGATGGACCAATCAGTGGTCATCAAACCAGTTCACTCCTCCCTCCTGGGACAGGACTACTGCTTCGAGGTGACACACACGGGACACACACACGACACAGACTGGACACACACACACGACGCACACTGGACACACACAAACCACACTGGACACACACTGGACACACACGACCCACACTGGACACACGCACAACACACACACAACACACACACACAACACACACTGGACACACACGAACCACACTGGACACACACACACAACACACTGGACACACACTGGACCCCCCCCCCGGAGTGTCCGCAAATTGGTGACCTTGACCTCTGACCCCTGTGTCTCCTAGGTAACGACCTCGACGGGGACGAAGTGCTTCTCGTGTCGGTCGGCGGCGGAGAGAGATAAATGGATGGAGAACCTGAGAAGAGCCGTGCATCCCAACAAGGACAACAGCAGGAGGCTGGAGAATGTCCTCACGGTCTGGGTGATCGAAGCCAAAGACCTGCCTGCAAAGAAAAGGTGATCCTAGACCAGGAGCCTGACCCAGTTCATCTAGAGCCTGATCCAGTTCATCTAGAGCACACGTGTCAAACTCAAGCAGCAGCAAAAAATCCAGCAGCAAAAAAAAAAAAAAAAAAAAAAGATTTGTTTTTTGAATTTTGGAAAAAAAATTAAAAGTTAGACTTGAAAATAAAAGTATCCCCATGGTCGAAATTATGAGATAGAAAGTTGAAATTATGAGATAGCATGTTGTCTGTGTACCGACATTAAAACTATCACAACAGGTGGACAGGAGAGGGAACAGCCCGTAAAGAGGTTTTCCATCAAGTGATTGAGTTGAAAAAGATCGACAAATAATCCCAAAATGTCCACGAAGAGAAGAATTGATGCAGAGGGAAGAAGATGTAATGAAAGATGGGAAAGAGAATACATGTCTGTGCTTCAAGGAGAAAAACGGGTCTGTCTTCTGTGTTATGATGCGTGTCGGTGATGAAGAATACAATTCACGTCGGCATTTTGACACCAAACACGGAGCTAAATTTAGCCTCCAAGAAAAACATCAAATTGTCCAAGAATTAAAAGGCAGAGTGCAATCACAGCAGAATATATTTACAGAAGCTACAGCCCAGTGCATGCTAAAGGTCTGTGAGCAGGTGAGCTCCGACCAGGTACAGACTTTTACAAATGTCAGTTTGTGAAGAAACACCATCGCAGACCGAGTTCAGGAACTAGCAGCAATCTAACAACACAGCTAGCTCAGAGACGAGCAGGTACTCGTCTTCTTCATTAGCTGTTGATGAAAGCACAGACAACACAGACTCAGAGCATCTATCCATGTTTATAAGACCTGATCTCAGTGAGGAGCTCTCGGATGTAGCTGCCATGCACGGGACGACGGCAGGGAGGGACATTAGTGATGCAGAGAGGTGACACAAATAGCTTTGAACAAAGTTAATGTAATATCTTGTGTTTGATATTTGTCTTTGTTATTTTCTTTAATAGTTTGATCTTTGATAGAGTAATGTGGGTTTCTTAACCCTAAATTAAAATGATTTATGTTATAATAACAGAAATGTGCTTAAATATCATTTTACATTTATATAACTGCATGTACAATATTTTTACACTTGAATAAACAATAATCAAAAGCAGAGACAGTTATTTACCAATATGTTAGGAGTAGTTACAGTTATACAGTCTTACAGTTACAACCGGCCCTTTGAGGGAAACATGATGCTGATGTGGCCCAGAGTGAAAATAAGTTTGACACCCATGATCTACAGTCTGATCCAGTTCACCTAGAGTCTGATCCAGTTCACCTAGAGTCTGATCCAGTTCATCTAGAGTCTGATCCAGTTCACCTAGAGTCTGTCGGCCGTCAAAAAATTGGCAACACACAATTTTTCTTCGCCGTGTTACGCCGGGGTTACACCGGACGCTGAAGCGCCGCGCAGCGCCATTCTCAAGCACTGCGCACCTGGCGCGCCCGCGATTCTGCTTTCTCCGCTTGTTGTTGTATGTAACCCGTTCAATGTAGGGGTTCGGGGGTAAATGATGATGGTCTTCATAGCCCCCCCAACCCTCTCTTTCTCTCTCTGTCTGTCTGTTTGTAGTGGATGGGCAGATGGGGAAAGTTAATAATGAGAGGGGAAATATCGGGGAGATTGAAACTGCAGGACAACAGAAGGGGAATACAAAGTATGGGATGCATATTTGATAATTTATATAATATAAAATATGTCATTTATATCGTTTAAATAATTTTTCAGTGTGTTTCCTGGCGCGATACGCTCGCGGCGAGCGGAAAAAATAGACTCGACACCGAAACTATCGGTGCAGGGCGCGAGGCGCCCTTGGCGCGGTGCAGCGCATCGCAGCCGATGTGAACAGCACATTTGTGTAACAGGGGGGCGGAAAGGAGGCGCCTGGCTTTCCTTGGCGCGGCGCTTCAGCGTCCGGTGTAAACCCGGCGTGAGATAAATTCAGTCCGCTCGTATTATTTGTGACGTCACGCTCCGCTTGGCCATCATTGGCTGCAGCTGATCACGCCACATTGCCTGATCAGGAACTTGGTGCGCTCAGTAGTCGACTTGTGGCTGTTGTGATTGTACGTCATTTGTGATTTTCTTTTAAACTTTCAATCCCTTCATACTAACTATGTCGAGCAAAAAAAGAAAGTGGTTGGACGAATGTGTACAATATGGATTCACGTGTATAAAGGAACGTGATGGGAGTCAGCGTCCTCAATGCATGATTTGCAATGCCAAGTTGAGCAATTCTAGTCCAGCACCGGCAAAACTAAGGGAACACTTCCTAAAGCTGCATGGAGATGGGAAATACAAGAACACAACGCTCGCTGAATTCAAGGTGAAGAGAGCCAGATTCGATGAAAAGGCTACTCTGCCTGTTCTCGGCTTTGTACCCATCGACAAACCGATCCTCACAGCATCACAGTACCAACATTGTCACGCAGATTGCTTCGAAAATTCTGAGTTCATTCTCATTTTGGCGTACATGGCCGATATTTTCGATGCTCTCAATCATCTCAATCGACAGATGCAGGGCCGTGGAGTCAACATCATCAAAGAGGAAGAAAACCTGAAGGCGTTTCAAAAAAAGCTACCTTTATGGAAACGACGAACAGAGAATGATAACTTCGCAAACTTTCCCCTGCTGGACGACTGTGTAAGTAAGATCGAAGACGTGTCTGGAATTGGAGACATTTCTGTACCTGGGGAGCTGAAGCAAGCAATTGCCATGCACTTAGATGAGCTCGCAAAGTCTCTCGACGGATACTTCCCCACCAGAGTCATATCCAGCACGGGTGAGACAGCCGTTCACGTTTAGTGTTGCGACAGCAGACGTCAACGATGAATACCTCGAAGAAATCATTGAACTTCAGCAGAGCCAGCTTCAACAGCAACTCTTCAGAACAACAACGCTCTCAACATTTTGGTGTCACCAAATCGTACCATACCCTCTTATTGCTAAGAAAGCCCTTGAGATACTCGCACCTTTTGTTACAACGTATCTTTGTGAGCAATCTTTTTCGAGGATGGTAGACATAAAAACTAAGAAAAGGAACAGACTTTGTTGCGAAAATGATATGAGAGTGGCACTTGCCAAGGTGAAGCCGCGCATTTCTGAACGTGTATCTGAAAGGCAACAGCAAAAGTCACATTGATTTGCAGTAAATATTCATTGAGCTATGTTTTTGTGTGAAATTCATGTTTTGTTGGTTTTGTTCTTTGAACACAGTGATTTTGTGTGCAACTGATGCATGGTTAATTTTGTGCACTAATAAAATATATACCTATGTTTTGAAGAAATCATATTTGATTTTTTCCAATTACGAAGGGTTCGGTGAATGCACTGATAAAGCTTGCAGGGTTCAGTACAGCCAATAAGGTTAAGAACCACTGATCTAGAGCCTGATCCAGTTCATCTAGAGCAGAGGTAGCCAACACGGTGCCCGCGGGCACCCTGTCGCCCGCAGGGACCACGTGAGTCGCCCGCAAGACATGTTCTAAAAATAGCACTAGTCATTATGGAGCTCCGTCTAAAATTGTAGTTGCTGTTCTTTTTTAATCAAAAACGCTTGCAGAGAGTTAAGACAGTTGGGTACCCGGAGGCGCACGGCGGACAGCCAGGACAAGGCCGCCGCACCGCACTAGGTTTTCAGGTTCTGAATGGCGGGCGCATCCCGTTGGTGCTAGACGCGCGCCGCGAGCGCACCCCGTCGTCAGGTCCGTAAATCCTCGGAACAGGCCGCGGGGAAACAACTCAGGGGTGGCGGGGGTAGAGGCGAGGCAACGCAATCCGACCGAAAAGGCCCAGACTAGAGGTTTGAACGCGGGCGCCCGAAGACGCTCGCGCGCCTCGGAGGGTTGGATCCCCCGCTCGGCTATAGACGAGACTTTTTACTAGTTTCTTCGTGGAGAAAAAGGTACCGTTAGAAAATCTGGTGTCGGTGATAACAGACGGGGCTCCCGCGATGACGGGCCGGCATGCAGGCTTCATTGCGCAATGCAAAGGTGACCCAGACTTCGCAAAATTTCTACATTACCACTGCATCATTCACCAGCAGGCAATATGTGCAAAAGTAACCGGCTTTGATCATGTGATGATACAAAAATATCAGAGATGTGATACCTCTGACTTTCAAATGTTGAAACAGATTAACAGAAATAAAAGTTGCATGTTTAAATATATATATGTGTAGCTATACCATCATAGTTGTGGAAATCATTATTAATAATTATTGTGAGGAATAATCAACTGACATGTGATCAAACAGTCTCTTCACATATATTATTATTATTAAAAGGTGATCTGTGCAACTTTTTTATTCAGGAAGTTTGTATCAAACAAGTAGCTCTTCGTACTACTCGGTACCCTTGAAGTAGCTCTCAGTTTCAAAAAGGTTGGTGACCCCTGATCTAGAGCCTGATCCAGTTCATCTAGAGTCTGATCCAGTTCATCTAGAGCCTGATCCAGTTCACCTAGAGCCTGATCCAGTTCATCTAGAGTCTGATCCAGTTCATCTAGAGCCTGATCCAGTTCACCTAGAGTCTGATCCAGTTCATCTAGAGCCTGATCCACTTCATTCTAACATATAGAGTTAGAGGGTGTGTCTAGATGACAGTGGTATTAACAGTAGTATTTGTGTCCTACAGGTACTTCTGTGAGCTGTGTCTGGATGACAGTCTCTATGCTCGGACGTCCTGTAAGCTGAAGACTGACAACATCTTTTGGGGAGAACGTTTCGACTTCAGCAGCCTGCCGTCCGTCGCCTCCATCACTCTCCATCTCTACAAAGACACCGACAGGAAGAGGAAAAAGGACAAGAGCAGCTACGTCGGGTTGGTCAACATTCCCATTGCGATGGTGAGCGGCAGACAGCTGGTGGAGAAGTGGTACTCGTTGAGTACGCCCAGTACCATCCGAGGTAGGTAGATCTTCATAGAGGTTCACTGCGTTCACTGAAGAAAGTTTGACTCCAAACAAGAACTTTTAGTCAGTTTTTCATGTTGCTTCCTGTTTCAGCTAAGTCGTCTGTGCCGACGGTGCGAGTCAAAGCTCGGTATCAGAGTATCGTCATCCTGCCGATGGAACAGTACAAAGAGTTCGCAGAGTACATCAGCTCCAACTACCTGCTGCTCTGCAACACTCTGGAAGCCTCCATCAGTCTGAGAGCTAAAGAGGAGCTCTCTTCTGCACTCGTCCACATCCTGCACAGCACGGGGAAGGCCAAGGTAGCCCCACCCACGGAGCATGACCCCGCCCACTATGCACGACCCCGCCCATCATCACACCCTCACTACACCTGAACTCCTTCAAAATAAAACCATTACTGTAAATTATCCCATGTATTTCCAGGTGAACTCATCTCTCAGTGTTCTCATGTGTGTTGAAAACCTGGAACTCGTGAATTTAGAGTTTTTTAAAAATGTTGTTCCATTGTCTTATTGTAAAAGAACAACTGAGAGGCAGTAGAGTGGGAGAGTTTAACTCTCTTTATAAAAGTCCAACGTAAACTTCCTCTAAATGTTAGTGGTAGTCAATGAAATGAAAAAGAGTCCATCACATGACCAGACCACATACAGGATCACATGACTGCTGCACATTCAGGATGTTTAAATAAAGTTTTGTTGGACTGAATGAGGACGACCTTTCTGCAGGACTTTTTGACAGACCTGATGATGTCGGAGGTGGACCGTTGCCGTGACAATGACCAGCTGATCTTCAGAGAGAACACGCTGGCAACAAAGAGCATCGAAGAATACCTGAAGCTGATTGGACAGAAGTATCTGCAGGACGCCCTCGGTAAACACAACACTAAACAAGATAAATTACACAAAATACAAAACGTGACCCAACACCCCAGTTTATTGTGATAGAGAGGTTTATTATTGTGATAGAGAGGTTTATTATTGTTATAGAGAGGTTTATTATTGTGATAGAGAGGTTTATTATTGTGATAGAGAGGTTTATTATTGTGATAGAGAGGGTTATTATTGTTATAGAGAGGTTTATTATTGTGATATAGAGGTTTATTATTGTTATAGAGAGGTTTATTATTGTTATAGAGAGGTTTATTATTGTTGGAGAGGTTTATTATTGTGATGGAGAGGTTTATTATTGTGATATAGAGGTTTATTATTGTGACAGAGATGTTTATTATTGTGATAGGTTGGCATTTGATCGGTCCAGGAAAAACTCCAAAAACAACAAAAAACCTCAGAGAGATCCTCTGGACAGAAGTGTGTTAGATGTCATGTCTTGCTTTAACCCTAACCATATACATATTTGTTTGTGTTTTCTGTGTTCAGGTGAGTTCATTAAAGCTTTATATGAGTCAGATGAGAACTGTGAAGTCGAGCCATCTCGCTGTGCGACCTCTGACCTCGCAGAGCATCAGGCTAACCTGAGGATGTGCTGTGAACTCGCCTTCTGCAAGATCCTTGACTCATACAGGTACACAGATATATACAGAGTACATACTGTACATACACTGTACACACACTACCTTACACACACTGTACTCACACTGTACACACACTGTACAGTACTCTCTACACAATGAACATACTGTACACACACTGGACTTACACTGTATTCACCCTGTACAAACCCTTTACACACAGTGAAAACACACACTTTGTATGATATGATGTACCCTTTAACTACCCCTTTAACTACTCATTTAACTACCCCTTTAACTCTCCTTTAACTACCCCTTTAACTACCCATTTAACTACCCCTTTAACTACCCCTTTAACTACCCCTTTAACTACCATTTTAACTACCCCTTTAACTACTCTTTTAACTACTCCTTTAACTATCCTTTAACTACCATTTGAACTACTGCTTTTATCTACCCCTTTAATTACTCCTTTAACTATCCTTTAACTACTCCTTTTACTACCATTTTAACTACTCCTTTAACTACTCCTTTAACTACTCCTTTAACTACCTTTTTAACTTCCCGTTTAACTACTCCTTTTACTACCATTTTAACTACTCCTTTAACTACCCCTTTAACTACCATTTTAACTACTCCTTTAACTACCCCTTTAACTACTTCTTTAACTACTCCTTTAACTACCATTTTAACTACTCCTTTAACCACCCATTTAACTACTCCTTTAACTTCCCCTTTAACTACTCCTTTAACTACTCCTTTTACTACCCCTTTAACTACTCTTTTAACTACTGCTTTAACTACTCCTTTAACTACTCATTTAACTACACCTTTAATTTAACTACTCATTTAACTACTCCTTTAACTACTCCTTTAACTATCCATTTAACTACTCCTTTAACTACTCCTTTAACTACCCCTTTAACTACTTCTTTAACTATCCATTTAACTACTCCTTTAACTACCTCAGGGTCTTCCCCCGGGAGCTGAAGGAGGTTTTTGCGTCATGGCGACAGGAGTGCAGTAACCGAGGTCGACCAGACATCAGCGAGCGTCTCATCAGCGCCTCGTTGTTCCTTCGCTTCCTGTGTCCGGCGGTGATGTCGCCGTCACTGTTTGACCTGATGCAGGAATTCCCCGACGAACGCTCTGCTAGAACTCTGACCCTCATCGCCAAAGTCATCCAGAACCTCGCCAACTTCAGCAAGTAAGTCTGGGCTTTTATTTTGATGAGGCTTGGGTGCTTTTACTGTGAAGGAACTTTTATTGGGATTTTTGTGAAATACTTTGACCTGTTGGTGAATACCTGTATTGTTTGTTTACCTGTAATTGTTACCTGCATGTGTACTTTTAACTGTTAAAGGGATGTGTACCTGTATATGTTACCTGTACATGTTACTTGTATGTGTACCTGACATGTTACCTGTACATGTTACTTGTATGTGTACCTGTACATATTACCTGTACGTGTTAGCTGTATGTGTACATGTACGTGTTAGCTGTATGTGTACATGTACGTGTTAGCTGTATGTGTACCTGTACATGTTACTTGTACATGTTACCTGTACGTTTAGCTGTACGTGTTACCTGTATGTGTACCTGTACGTGTTACCTGTACATGTTACCTGTACATGTTACCTGTACGTGTTACTGCTTACCTGTGGCTGCAGGTTCGGGACTAAAGAGGAGTACATGCTGTTTATGAATGACTTTGTGGAGCGTCAGTGGAGCAGCATGCAGCGTTTCCTGCAGGAGATCTCAAACCCTGACGGACTGAACCACACCGCCGGCTTCGATGGATACATCGACCTCGGCCGAGAGCTGTCCAGCTTGCACACCCTGCTGACCGAGCTGGATCAGGTAACACACCTGATCAGGTGACCCAGGACTTCTTTACCTTACCAGTTCTTTTCATATTTCCCTTTCTGTTCAGATGAAACCAAACAGATACAACATGTGAATCAGTGAGCTTTAGAGGAGCTGACAGGTGGATGTTTTTCCCTTCAGACAGAGTCAGGCTAGCGGTTTCCAGACTTTATGCTAAGATAAACTAACCTCCTGCTGGCTATAGCTTTATATTTAGCCGGCAGACCAGAGAGTGGTGACAATCTGACATCTGTCTCTCCCGTACCTGTCTGTCTGTCTCCAGTTGAGCCTGTCGAAGCTCGGTCCTCTACCTCGGATAATCAGAGAAGTGTCAGCGGCTCTGGCTAACCCCGGGGGCGTGGTTAATCCCGGGGGCGTGTCAGTGTCGTCTCCAGAGCCTCAGCGTGTGGTGTCCCCGCCCCCTCTGTCCCCGGCCCCCCTGTCCCCGCCCCTCTCTCCTCCTCTTGCGGCTTGTAATCCCTCTATTGGCCTGCAGGGCAACGTCGGACTGGATGGAGGGTTAGTATCATGTGTCCTGTTAGCATTAGCATTTAGCTCAGTTCATATCAAATACAGACGTCTATAGACAACGCACAACATCACGATTCACCAAAGTCACACAATCACACAATAATAATGTAATAAGACACTGTAATAAGACACTGTAGTAACACACTGTGATAACACACTATAGTAACACTGTAATAACACTGTAATAACACATTGTAGTAATAATACACTGTAATAACACTGTGATAAAACACTGTAATAACACACTGTTCTAACACTGTAGTAAGACACTAGTAACACACTGTAATAACACACTGTGATAACACACTGTAACAACACACTGTAATAACACTGTAGTAACACACTGTAGTAACACTGTAGTAACACACTGTAATAACACACTGTAAAAACAGACTGTAGTAACAGACTGTAATAACACCAGTGTAATAACACACTGTAGTAACACACTATAGTAAGTACTACCCTGAGCCTTCCACTGAGCACTTATTGTAATCATATTAGTTTATTGCACTTACTGTATTCATACTAGTTTGTTTCTGTACTTCTGCTCTGGTTTATGCTCTTAGATGCTTGTTTAAAGGAGATGCACTTATGACTTCTGGTGACTAGTAGTTCTCTTGAATATGTTGAATACACTTATTGTAAGTCTCTTTGGATAAAAGCGTCTGCTAAATGGCTGTAATATAATGTAATGTAACACACTGTAATAACACTGTAGTAACACACTGTAATAACACACTGTAGTAACACACTGTAATAACTGCAATAATGTGTGTGTAGTTTGGTGGACTTCACCAGACTTCCGTCTCCGACTCCAGAGAACAAAGACTTGTTCTTCGTCACTAAAGGATCCAGTCTGCAGCCGGCATCAGGTGACCTTTAACCTTATTATAGCTGACCTCAGTGTGTGACCGTTGACCTCAGTCTGACCTCTGATGTCACTTTCTGTAGGTGTGCAGGGCTCTCCGGCGGCGAGTTCTTCGTACTCTGAGCCCAATGAGAATGAAGCGGGTTTTGAAATGACCAATGGGGGCCGGAGGGAGGGGCCCGATCTGACCAATGAGAGCCGCAGCCTGTCTCTGGTCGACCTGCAGGACTCCTCCCCTAGCGACGGCCTTGACGACGGTCAATGGCAGCGCAGGACGGGGCTCCTCCCCCTCTCCTTCCAGAATCCCGTGTATCACATGACCGCCACGTCGCCGCGACAACCGACGGACGCCATGCCCTCGGACGGCTCAGGGGGTTCGCAGGGGACAGAAAACGTCATGGCAACCAAACCAGTGTTTCTTACCCAGATGTCTGTGGGGCTGGGGGGGGGGGGGGGGGGGGGGGGGGGGGGGGGATGTCGGCCATGTCGGCCATGTCAGCCATGTCAGCCATGTCGGCCATGTCCAGCAGCAGCAGTGGAGAGGATTACTCAAGACGAGCTCTGTCTGAGACCCTCACAGGTAAGACCACCACCAGGATCCACTGAGATCACCTGATCATGTGACCTCATCATGTGACCTGATCATGTGACCTCATCATGGGACTTCGTAGAATCATGTGACCTCATCATGTGACCTCGTAGAATCATGCGACCTTATCATGTGACTTCGTAGAATCATGTGACCTTATCATATGACCTCATCATGTGACCTCATTATGTGACCTCGTAGAATCATGTGACCTTATCATGTGACCTCATCATATGACTTTGTAGAATCATGTGACCTCATCATGTGACCTCATCTCTGTTGTTCAGTTCCTCCTGTTTCTCCAGCTGGCTGGTTCTCAAATCACTCAGCTTCGTCCACGTTTGAACATCCAGAGATGTATATATGTATATATATACATATATACAGTATATATATACATATATACAGTTTATATATATATATATATATATATATATATATATATATACATACATATATACTGTATATATATATATATACTGTATATACACATATATATATATATGTATACACATATACATATATATGTATATATATATATATACATATATATATATATATATATGTATACACTGTATATATGTATATATATACTGTGTATATATATATATATATATATATAATGATATATACATGTTCAGCTTTCCTGATGATGTCACTGTTGTTGCTCCTCCCCCTCAGGTAGCTCCGCCCCCTCTCGTCAGACCTCAGGTCCTCAGAGACGCATCGACCAGCCTCCTCCTCCCTCCTCCGCTCCTCCTGGACCTCCGCGAGGTCGCACTCCTCCCAGCATGCTTAGCGGCAGCGGAGGCCCCGCCTACCCTACTCGCCCCGCCTCCGGCAGCATGATGTCATCGAGTCCCGATTGGCCAAGCAGCAGCCAGTCGCGCCTCAGACAGACGTCGTCGTCGTCTAAAGGAGACAGTCCCGAGAAACAAAGACCCGCCGCTAAGGTAACGCCTTAATCATGGTGACCCGTTCTGACCTTTGACATGTAGTAACAGTGTGTGTGTGTGTGTGTAGGCTCAGTCTCCCTGTGCGTTGGACCGGACGGCCGCCTGGCTGCTCAACATGAACTCTGCATCGTCCTACGGAGAGACGGAGGACGACCGCCATGACGACGCCCTCATAGAGAAGGTAAGAGACTACAGGTCCTACTGGTTCTACTAGTTCAACTGGTCGTACTGGTCTCACTGGTTCTACAGGTCCTACTGGTTCTACTAGATCAACTGGTCGTACTGGTCCTACTGGTCTCACTGGTTCTACAGGTCCTACTGGTTCTACTAGTTCAACTGGTCGTACTGGTCTCACTGGTTCTACAGGTCCTACTGGTTCTACTAGTTCAACTGGTCATACTGGTTATACTGGTTCTACAGGTCCTACTAGTTATACTGGTTTTACAGGTCCTACTGGGTCTACTGGCCTTACTGGTTCTACAGGTCCTACTAGTTCTAATGGCCTTACTGGTCTCACTGGTTCTACAGGTCCTACTGGTTCAACTGGTCATACTGGTTCTACTGGTTCTACAGGTCCTACTGGCCTTACTGGTTCTACTGGTTCTACAGGTCCTACTAGTTATACTGGTTCTACTGGCCTTACTGGTCCTACTGGTTCTACTGGTTCAACTATTTCTGCTGGTTCTACTGGTCCTACTGGTTCTACTAGTTATACTGGTCTTACTGGTCTTGCTGGGTGTTGGGAACTTAAAGGAGCGTGTTTGAGTTATCATAAAACATGAAAAACTAAATTATTGACATCAATAGAATTATTAATGTCAGTAAGATTATTAACAATTATTAATAATAACGGGGCTCCACCCTGAGAACATCAGGGGCATAAGTCTCATAATTAATATTCACTCACAATGTCAACAGTCAAAGTAGTATTCCACATTCAGAGTGAACAGTGAAGTTTTGATATCAGCTATAATCACGTTACACATGCAGACAGCTGCTCTTTAAAGTTTAACAGAGTTTATTAAGTTCTGATAATAATGATCTATTCAAATAATATCTAAAACTAACAACAAATACTATACAATTATGAGCACGCTATCTTTAAATCAACAAACAATCTGTGGTAGGACTGTGTGCGTGTGCGTGTGTGTGTGTGTGTGTGGGTGTGTGTGTGTGGGTATGCGTGGGTATGCGTGTGTGTGTGCGTGTGCGTGTGTATATGCGAGTGTGGGGGAGAAGCTATAAACAGCTCGGGCAACGTATGATGTAATCTAAAACGTGGCTACGTCACGTGGGACTACACGTTGGAGATAGATAGAACTATCTGCCTAAATGGAGGTGTAGTTTCACACGGGACCACAAAATAGCACGAGACTCCAAAATGGGGCGAGACAATAGAGATTGTGTTATCTACACGTGTCTGAGGTAGTTAGCTCAACCCAGAGCTACATGTAGCTAACGCTATATGTGTGTGTGGGTTAGTAAAAGAAGAGAGAAAGCAAACAAAGAAATCCTCCAAAACAAGCAGATCCTCACCACCGCGGTGAAATATGGAGATTGTTCTCTCATCTACAGAAATGTCGCTGAAGATCTCTGACTCGCCCAGTCGCGGTTCTGACCTTTGAACCGATGAGACAACTTCCAGCCCCACCAGCGGTGAATCATCTCAACACGTTTGCAGCAGCATGAAATACACAGGAACTTCTACACAACATTAACGATCTCAGTCGTTAATCTCGGCGATTATTGAGCATCCACACCAACTTATAAAATGACACAGTAACTTAAGCAACACACAAGATAATATACACAATGACCTAACTAAGCCCAGACACCCTGAGTAAGCCTTACGATGAGATGACTTTTTAATGGTGCTTTTAGTAGCCGACGGTCCTTCGAGCGGTGAATCCACTCGGCTGCGCTGGCTGCTAGCGCTGACTCTGTCTCTGTCTCGGCAGAGAGGGGGCTCTTCGGAATTGTCGTCCTTTGGCCGGCACTGTCGACTTGGTTGGAAAGAGAAGTGTCCGTCTCTTTTTCTGCAGGCAAATCTCCTGGTTCTCCTGATCCTACTGGTTCTACTGGTCCTACTGGTTCTACTAGTTCTCCTAGTTCTCCTGGTTCTCCTGATCCTACTGGTTCTACTGGTCCTACTGGTTCTACTGGTTCTCCTAGTTCTCCTGGTTCTCCTGATCCTACTGGTTCTACTGGTCCTACTAGTTCTCCTGGTCCTACTGGTTCTCCTGGTTCTACTGGTTCTCCTAGTTCTCCTGGTTCTCCTGGTCCTACTGGTCTTACTGGTTCTGACTCTCTCTCTGTGTGTTTAGTACCAGCAGGAGATCACGTTGCTGCAGGAGAAGTTGAGAGTTGCAGCAATGCGTCAGGACGAGTGTGAAGCTCGACTGCTGGTCCAGGATCAGCAGAACCAACGCATGCTGCAGGAGTACCAGGTGAGTTACCCGATCCCTGATCCACCTGAGACACACACACACACACACACACACACACACACACACACCAACACCATGAACAGCTTCACTCACCTGTAGAAAAGCTCAGCTGATGACACTGTGTTCATGCTGTGTGTGTGTGTGTGTGTGTGTGTGTGTGTGTGTGTGTGTGTGTGTCTCAGGTGAGGTTGGAGGACACAGAGAGCAGACTAAGGCGGCTGCAGGACGATAAAGATCTCCAGATGAACAGCATCATCAGCAGGTCTGTCTGTCTGTCTGTCTGTCTGTACAGCTGTCTCTCTCTCACCTGTCTGACCTGTGACCTTTGCAGGTTGATGGCCGTAGAGGAGGAGCTGAAGAAGGATCACTCTGACATGCAGGCTGTGGTGGACTCCAAGCAGAAGATCATAGAGGCACAGGTACCTGCCTGTCTGTCTGTGTGTCTGTGTGTGTGTCTGTCTGTGTGTGTGTCTACCTGTCTGTCTGTCTGTCTGTCTGTCTGTCTGTGTGTCTGTGTGTGTGTCTGTCTGTCTGTGTGTGTGTCTGTGTGTCTGTCTGTCTGTGTGTGTGTCTGTGTGTCTGTCTGTCTGTCTGTCTGTCTGTCTGTCTGTGTGTCTGTCTGTCTGTCTGTCTGTCTGTCTGTGTGTCTGTCTGTCTGTCTGTCTGTCTCTGTCTGTGTGTCGACCTGTCTGTCTGTCTGTGTGTGTGTGTGTCTGTCTACCTGTCTGTCTGTCTGTCTGTGTGTGTCTGTCTGTGTGTGTGTCTGTCTACCTGTCTGTCTGTCTGTGTGTGTGTCTGTCTGTGTGTCTGTCTGTCTACCTGTCTGTGTGTCTGTCTGTGTGTCTGTCTGTGTGTCTGTCTGTGTGTGTCTGTCTGTGTGTCTGTCTGTGTGTCTGTCTGTGTGTCTACCTGTCTGTCTGAGGCAGCTCCTTGTAGCTCTTTTATTGTGATCAGCTGTCTCCTTCCTGTCTGAGGGTACATCCCAAGTCTCTTAATTGTCATTTCTTCGATCCTCGATTGAACCGGAAGTTGTTCTGCTCCTCCATATTGAAGGCCGTCCCAAAGCTCTAATTTAGCTCTGAGGACACACAAGAACAGACTTCCAGGAAGTCTTTTAACGGCCGACACGCCCCCTCATTGTTCATCAGTCATGTGATTGGACGCTGCAGCCGATCGGACTGACTGACTGAGTTTAACACCAGAGTGAAGACGGATCAGAATAAACTCTAGTTTATATTTGATCAGGTTTCTGATTCACCATCTGGTTTAAATAAATGTTCATTGTAGTCTGAACAACAAAACGACCACAAACAACTTTCTACATTTGTTAGAAAGATTTGTGTTTTCCTCCTCCGTGAATCGCCACCTTATCGTGGTGGAGGAGTTTGAGTGGCTCAGTGATCCTGGGAGCTATGTTGTCCGGGGCATTAGCCCCTGGTAGGGTCTCCCAAGGCAAACAGGTTTCAGGGGAGAGCCCAGACTAAGAGCGGTTCAAAACAACCCCTATGATAGTTAGCCCATGGACTACAGCCACCTCGCCCGGACCAGGGAAACCGGGGCACCCTCCCGGAGCCAGACCCAGGAGGGGAACTCGTAGGCGAGCGTCTGGTGGCCGGGCCTTTGCCCATGGGGCCCGGTCGGGCTCAGCCCGAATAAACACCATGGAGCAGCCACCCTGTGGACCCACCACCCGCAGGGACAAGCATCGGGGTCGGGTGCTATGCAGACCGGGCGGCGGGTCGGGTGGGAGGCCGGGGCATGCCGATCGCCGGCGGCATAGACTAGCTCTAGGGACGTGGAACGTCACCTCGCTAGCGGGGAAAGAGCCGGAGCTGGTGCAGGAGGTGGAGCGATACCAGCTAGAAATAGTTGGACTCACCTCCACACACAGCGTTGGCTCTGGAACCAAGCTCCTGGAGAGGGGTTGGACTTTGTCCTTTTCCGGAGTTGCCCAGGGTGAGAGGCGCCGGGCGGGAGTGGGGATACTCACGAGCCCCCGGCTGAGCGCCGCTGTGTTGGAGTTCTCCCCGGAGAGCGAGAGGGTCGCCTCCATGCGCCTACGAGTTGCGGGGAGCAAGGCTCTGACTGTGGTTTCTGCTTATGCACCAAACAGCAGTTTAGACTATCCGGCCTTCTTGGAGTCGGTGGGAGGGGTCCTGGAAAGGGCGCCGCCTACCGACTCCATAGTTCTCCTGGGGGACTTCAACGCTCACGTGGGCGATGACGGAGAAACCTGGCGGGGGGTGATTGGGAGGAACGGCTTGCCCGATCTGAACCCGAATGGTGTTTCGTTATTGGACTTCTGTGCTTGCCACGGTTTGGCCATAACGAACACTATGTTCGAACATAAGGTGGCTCATAAGTGTACCTGGTACCAGAACACCTTAGGCCGGAGATCAATGATCGACTTTGTAATCGTATCATTTGATTTGCGGCCGTATGTCTTGGACACTCGGGTGAAGAGAGGAGCAGAGCTGTCAACTGATCACCACCTGGTCGTGAGTTGGATCAGATGGCAGGGGAACCGGTTGGAAAGACCCGGCAAACCCAAACGTGTAGTGAGGGTGAACTGGGAATGTCTGGCGGAGGACCCTGTCCGGGAGGTCTTTAACTCCCACCTCAGGAAGAACTTCTCACACATCCCGAGGGAGGTTGGGGACACGGAATCCGAGTGGACCATGTTCAAAGCCTCTATTGTGGACGCGGCCGCTAGGAGCTGTGGCCGGAAGGTCATCGGTGCCTGTCGTGGCGGCAACCCGAGAACCCGGTGGTGGACACCGGAGGTGAGGGAAGCCGTCAAGCTGAAGAAGGAGACCTTCAAGGCCTGGTTGGCCCAGGGGTCTCCTGAAGCAGCTGACAGGTACCGGCAGGCCAGAAGGGCTGCAGCTGCGGTGGTCGCGAATGCTAAAACTCGGGCATGGGAGGAGTTCGGGGAGGCCATGGAGAAGGACTTTCGGTTGGCCTCAAGGAGGTTCTGGCAAACCATCCGACGGCTCAGGAAGGGAAAGCAGGGCTTACCCCAGGCTGTTCTCAGCAGGGGGGGGAACTGCTAACCCGGACGGAGGACATCGTCGGGCGGTGGAAAGAGCACTTTGAGGAACTCCTAAACCCGACCAACATGTCCTCTGCAGAGGAGGCAGCGCCTGAGGACCTAGGGGGAGGCTCACCCATATCCCTGGCAGAGGTCGCTGAGGTAGTTAAAAAGCTCCTTGGTGGCAAGGCGCCGGGGGTGGATGAGATCCGCCCTGAGATGCTGAAGGCGCTGGACATAGTTGGGCTGTCCTGGCTGACACGCCTCTTCAATGTCGCATGGGGGTCGGGATCAGTGCCCATGGAATGGCAGACCGGGGTGGTGGTTCCCATCTTCAAAAAGGGGGACCGGAGAGTGTGCTCGAATTACCGGGGTATCACACTACTCAGCCTCCCGGGGAAGGCTTATGCCAGTGTGCTGGAAAGGAGGCTCCGACCGCTTGTCGAACCTCAGATTCAAGAGGAGCAGTGCGGATTCCGTCCCGGCCGTGGAACAGTGGACCAGCTCTTTACCCTCGCAAGACTACTGGAGGGGTTCTGGGAGTTTGCCCAACCAGTCTACATGTGCTTTGTGGACTTGGAGAAGGCTTTCGACCGGGTCCCTCGGGGGTCTTGTGGGGGGTGCTGCGGGAGTATGGGGTGCCAGACCCGTTACAACGGGCGATCCGGTCTCTGTACGACTGCAGTAGGAGCTGTGTCCGCATTCTCGGCAATAAGTCAGACACGTTCCCGGTGGGTGTTGGGTTAGGGTTAACCCTCTTGTTCACGAGTGAGGGTAAGATGGAGCGGATCAGTGCAGCTGCAGCAGTAAAGCAGGCGCTGCACCGGACAAGGTCGCGGCTACAAGCGGCCGAAATGAGTTTCCTCCGTAGGGTGGCCGGGCTCAGCCTTAGAGATAGGGTAAGGAGCTCGGTCATCAGGAGGGAGCTTGGAGTAGAGCCGCTACTCCTTCGCGTCGAAAGGAGTCAGCTGAGGTGGTTCGGGCATCTAATTAGGATGCCTCCTGGACGCCTCCCACTGGAGGTTTTCCAGGCACGTCCAACTGGGAAGAGAACCCGGGGAAGACCCAGAACACGCTGGAGAGATTACATCTCCCAGCTGGCCTGGGAACGCCTCGGGATCCCCCAGAATGAGCTGGAACATGTTGCCGGTGAGAGGGAGGTCTGAGTCGGCCTGCTTGACCTGCTGCCACCGCGACCCGACCCCGGATAAGCGGTGGAAAATGGATGGATGGATGGATTTGTGTTTTCATGATCTGATGTTTCCCTCAATAACTTTATTATGAAGACAATTAAAGTCAGAGAGAGCTGGAGAGACTAAACACTTATATAGATCTATATATATATCTATATATATATATATATATATATATATGAGAGAGAACACTTTTTTACATCATTCATCATCATTTCATTCAGTCACGTGAGGCTGTTCATTCCTGATTGTCGGGTTTGATGAGTTTTATCATTTAAGAGAAGAGAAACAATAATCATATTCTGGGTTATTTAATAATGACGTCACAGTTTCTAAACGTACAGACGCAAATAATTGATAAATAAGACGATCGCATTCTGCCGGTAGAAATGGATCCTGTGCTTATAAACAGAACACAGGACACAGTTTGTTAACAGACTAGAGAGAGAAACACCTCTACAGTGGTGATTACTGTGTGTCTTTATGAGTTATTAGTATTATTAGTTACTGTTATTAAGTACAGTGATCACGTGAACAGACGCAAACTTATCTAAAGTCTCTCCAGCTGCTAAAGCCGACTGGCAGCTGATCCAGCTGTGATCAGCTGATCCTCCGTCATCAGAAACAGACGTCGCTTCACGTGACGCAACTGAGGAAAGGACGTCTCATGTCTCTTAAAACATATTTCCTCGTTCCTCTCTCCTTGCATGGTTTCCTCCATGCATCCCTGGTGGGAGGGACTATGACGCAAGGAAAGGACCCAAGTGAGGGAAACGGGGATGACATTAAGAGACTTGGGATGTACCCTTAGTCCCTCCCACCAGGGATGCATGGAGGAAACCAAGCGAGGAGAGAGGAACGAGGAAATATGTTTTAAGAGACATGAGACGTCCTTTCCTCAGTTGTGTCAGGTGAAGCGACGTCTGTTTCTGATGACGGAGGATCAGCTGATCACAGATGTTGAATCAGAAAACGAATCAAATATAAACTTGAGTTTAATCTGTGATCCGTCTTCACTGTTTACATGTTGAACACAATCTCATCAGTCTGATCGGCTGCAGCGTCCAATCACATGACTGATGAACAATGAGGGGGCGTGTCAACTGTTAACACTTCCTGGAAGTCTGTTCTCGTGGGTCCTCGCTCATGGCTCCTCAGAGATCCCTCCTCCATCCTTGCTCCTCAGAGCTAAATAAGAGCTTTGGGATGGCCGTCAATATGGCGGCGCAGAACAACTTCCGGTTCAATCGAGGATCAAGGAGCGAGGAAATGACAATTAAGAGACTTGGGATGTACCCTCAATCCTTCCTCCCTCCCTCCCTCCTGTCTGTCTGACTCTCTCTCTCCCTCCCTCC